CTGACAAGGCTAAACAGCCCCATCTACGCGTGCCGCACACAAACTAATCCACGCACCAGGGATCAGGCTTTCAAAGAAACAAAGTGAGCGCTGTTCGAAGTTCATCCGGGCGGGAATGCTAGAGGGAGCACATAGCGAAGGCACCTGTTGGCAATGCCCCCCCCATTTTCACGATGACTCACCTTACAGAAAGGCCCCTGAGCGCAGCTGCCACGCCACTGCCATGAGAACGCGCATCGTGGTTAGCGATTTTCAATTCTATCTGATAGGTTCATTATGGCCGACTCTTTCTCCTCAAGCGGACTGAATAACTACAGGCAGCCTTTTTGTGAGAGTGACTTGCTTTTTGGTAACACACTTTCCTCGTGGCTGATTGACTTACCTTGTTCTCGTGCGGGCGTTCAGGACAACAGTCGGGCTAGCGCACCGTTTGTGCTTGGGCTGAAAGGGCTGGGTTATACCGTCAGAGGGCAGCCCTCCAAGCCATGACTTTAAGCGCATCGTGATAGAATGTTGGCAGACTGACCGAAAATCCGGCAAAACTGACTTGTAGGGTCCCTCTAGATAACTATCCTCCCAGCCCAGCTGCTTAACGTAGTTCGTGGCCAAACTTTTAATTCTTGGCTAGTTAATGAATATGTAATTGTCGCGGAAGTGATCAAAAATAGTAAATAAAATAGGATTATGTTGATTTAATATGCCAAAATAGAATAAAATTCTATTAACATGAAGTCCTGTTGCGCAGGATACGGATACCATTTGAGGGGAATCCGACCTTATGTAGGCGGAATTTAACGAAGAAAGTCGGGTTACTGAAAATTTAAAAGTAGTTTTTTTAAAATTATAAGTCGACAGGATTCTTGGGGCCTCTAAGGTCAGTCCTGTCGAAAATCCTTTTCAGAAATGTTGACTCCCATAGTCATCGTGAGATGGAGTTTTTTATGACCCGCCTCTGGCACTTCTAATAAGCACGAACCGTGAGCCATGCCGACCGTTGTTCCCAAAGTCGGCATGAGAGAGAGAGAGAGGAAGAGATCGCTAGCTACAGTGCAGACAGCCTGGCGGCCGGATGAAGACGTCTTTCTGTGCAATGACTTATTTTGCGAATGGAGGCGTGCCCAACAGAGTTATTTGACAAATCAAGCTAGAAGGGGAGAAGCGAGTGCTAGAAAGTAGTCGCGAAGGGAGGGACGCAGGATGGCTGTAACAGGAGCTTGAGTAGCTTGACGTTTCGGATTCTGGTTCGACTGCTATCTGACTCTGTCTCTGACGAGGGATGCGAGTAGGAATCTGAAACGGCAGTCAAATAAGGCTCCTGGTACCGCGATCGTGCCGCTTTTTCTTCGCGAAATCGAGCTTGTCTGCTGAGGGCAGCGTGTGGAGGGGAGGGGGAGAGAGGAGTGGATTCGCTCAAGAGAATCGGACAGAGAAAGAAAAACGCACCAAAGAAGAGTCGACCACTCTTGGACTCGAAGACCGTTTGGCCCTCAGTATTAGCAATCTGTTCCAGCTGCTTCCGTTCCGAGCTGCGAATGAGCTCAAAGTCGGCCAGACTGTCTAAAACGGGTGGAAGAAAAAAAGGAGAGGGTGGAAAAAGAAATCAGGCAGCAGTAACAAAATCAGAGGTCATAATCAGTTTGCTCGTTTACCTAACTGGGGAACTAGACAAGCTTTACTAGCTTACGTAATTCCCGTTAACTTCAAGCTTTGGCGATCTACAGTCTATGGTGGTACGGAGGCGCGAGGTCGCTAAATCGGCCGGTTTGTCCACAAACACTGGGAAGACCAAAGTGTTCTCATGCTCCATACCTGCATCCAAAGAGAAGGCACCTCTCGAGATTAGTGGCCGTCAACTTGAAGACGCACACAGCTTAAAACACCTCGGAGCGAGGTCGCTGCCGAATGGACAGAGTAGGGGTGACATTGTATCCCGAACTGACGCAGCCCTACGAGTTTTCTCCAGCCTTCAAAGTGCCTATGGACCCAACGCGATATTTCTATTACCACAAAAGTTCGCGTATATCGTACATCCGTGCGGTTTGTTTTTCTATATGGCTGTAAATTCTGTGCTATGAATGTGGAAGATGAACGGAAACCAGAAGTTGTTTAATTTATTTTTGGATAACTTAAAACGCTGGTCAAAAATCTCCATTTTCACTTTGATATTACCTTGAGAAAAGGGAAATACGCAGATATTCGTGAGTAGAATATTTAAGAAAAGTGCTTTTTAAATAGGTAATCTATTTTGGAACGCGTTTTAATTGATCTTAGGCAAAAAATATTAGACGTTTGATGAGGACTTTTTTTACCTCTACCGTGAGTTTAGAAATATGGCCCACATGACGATCTTGATAAGAACGAATATTTAAAAATTTACATTTTTGCTAAATGCTTTTAAGAAGTAACTTATTTTAAAAGCTTTGACATTAATGACGACCGGAATCTACCTTAACAGAGTAAGGCTTGAAAACACTGAAAGTCGCGTAAAATATGCCTAAATTTAAAGGAGGATGTGAAACTAATTGTAATCTAATACGTGAAATATACATACAGAAATTTGACGAAAGAAATGTTCTGTTGATATAAGGAAAGTGCTTTGGTTATGATTTTACTTGATGATTATTTTTACATTTATTAGTCTAGTGTATAGCTATTTTACATGTCTGCTTATAAGTATGCTTACGAAAATACAAATTTTCTAAACTAATAATTAGTAAATTTAAACATTGTTTTCGTGGAAGAAATTTAAGCAAGGCAAAGATCGCGAGATAAGCAGAATTTATCGACGTCATGTGACCAATCCCACATTGCCATGGTATTTATCGATAAACTCCTAACAGCTCATGCCTTCTCGTCCCCCTTAGGACTGACTGCTACCCTGTCCCAACTCCCACCCTTTAACCACGTCCTAGAGGCTGTCATGAACATGAACTGCCATGCTGTGACAACTATCTCCCCCACCCCCTAACTGCTCCTACCCTTTTTATCTATCATGTTTCACCCTTCGAGGTTGACACTTAATTGGACAGCTAATTATCTTAGTAATAGGCAATGACCGTCTGCAGTTGAATAAGAGGTCACGAAATTTTATGCCGTCAATAAATTCTGCTAATCTCGTGATGTTAGCCTTGTTCAAATAATTAGTGCTTTTTAAGTAAAAAATTCGTCTAGGGTTATTCATTATTATTTCAAAGTTTTGTGCATGCGCTAGTGCCGGTTTGCGAGTGA